CGGAAACGGTGCCGGAGGCCGCTCTGGGCTCCTCTGGGCACCTCCCCCGGGGCCGGTTTTGTGAGGATGTCTCAAGCGAGGGCGCCGGTTTGGGATTCGTCACCGGATCCACCGGATCTGTCCGGAAACGGTGCCGGAGGCCGCTCTGGGCTCGTGCTCTTCGCGCCGGAGGTGAGGATGACGTGAGTTCCACAGAAACTCCCTCAAACAAGATATCATTGTTTCGGGTCCACGCTGGCTAGCCTATGGGTTTCTTCAGTTCCGAATGCGTTGGGCAGAGTGCCCACCGGACGCAGATGCAAACGAAATCTCGCCCTCAGGTCCTCCCGAACGCAGGATTGTCGTCATCTTTGGGGGATTCGACAGAGTCCAATGGATTGCCCCCCCCCCGGGACGCGGATACAAAAGACCTGGTCCAGTCGCATGGTAGATTTCGTGTGTCCAAGCTGTTGTGTGTCAAGCAGAGTGCCCCCCTGGACATGGATCGATCGATGATCTTCAGGACGAGAGTTAGCCCAATGTGAGTATTATTGTCTGCCTGTCTGTCTGTCTGTCTGTCCGTCTGTCGGTCTGTCCGTCCGTCTGTCTGTCTGTCTCCATGTGTGTGCGTGTGTGTGTGTGTGGGTGTGTGCGTGTGTGCGTGTGTGCGTGTGTGCGTGTGTGCGTGTGTGCGTGTGTGCGTGTGTGCTTGTGCGCGTGTGTGTGTGTGTGTGTGTGTGTGTGTGTGTATGTGCGTGTGTGTTTGTGTCTGTGTGTGCGTGTGTGTCCGTGTGTGTCTGTGTCGTGGTTCCCTGTGGGTGAACTTTGTGTTTCTCGCCGTGCCGCGTGAGTCCCTGGCCGCTTCTGTGGCCCCGGCGGCGTTTTCGGGCGCCTCACGGCATCTCTGGTTGCCTCCGCCGTGTCGTTGTGCGCGTGGCCGCGGCGCCAAAAAGCGTGCTTGTGCGTTTGCGTGTGTCTGTGTGTGTGGTGTGTGAGTGTGTGTGAGTGTGTGTGAGTGTGTGAGTGTGTGAGTGTGTGGGTGTGTGGGTGTGTGGGTGTGTGGGTGTGTGGGTGTGTGGGTGTGTGTGTGGTGTCTGTGTATTTGTGTGCGCGTGTTTCTTCAACATCGTTCGATAACCTCGCTAGCACACAGCCTGTGTCGACCCTCGCGGCGTTGCTTGATCCACGCTGACTTGCTTTGGTGGGCAGGCAAACGCTAGCGCCAGCAGACGCCCTGAGGCTCATCGAGTCTACGCACCCCCCGCACACGCGGATTCGGCCCGTGCCCCCCCCCAACCGTCTTGCTCCAGGAGACCATCGAGGAGGCGCGCGAGCGCCCGCCGGCACGCCCGCCGGGGCCAGACCTCGCGCGGGCGACTCCCTCTCCGTGCTGCGTGTCCCCACTGCGTCCTCTCTGCCGCTGGGCTCTGCCGCGGACGTCCAAGCCAGGTGCTACTCTTCGACCTCCGACGGCACGAGCTCTGTGATGCCCGCGCCCGTCCTCGATGCCGGCCCCCAGGGGCCGGTCCCAGGGCTCTCCCAGATGCGCCCAGAGCGCGGAACGACCCCCAGGGAAGGGGTCGGGGGCTCTGGGGAGCCGCGGACTGAGCAGATCACATCGGAGGATGCTTGGTCCTCTTGCTCTCGGCAGCCCGCGGAGATGTCAGCAGCACCCCCCGCGTGCATGGGCGCCGGGAGCGAGGACGGGGAGGGGGCGGGGGGTTAGGGCTGAGGCGCCCGTGCCTACCCCCCGGCACTTCGTGCCGCGTCGGCCCAGAGGCCTTGAGGGGCAGGGCTCGAGCTAAACGGTGTTTTGGCGATTTCGTGGACCCTTTTCGGTTTGATGTCCTTGCGTAGCAAGGGCAGAATTCAGCCACGCGCAGTGGGGGGTGGGGGGAGGGGGAGGGCTTCTTAGAAGCACCCCCTGCTTCTGAAGGCGCGGTCCTTGTCTACAGAGAGGGTGGCGCCTCTAAGAACCAGCCTCCTTCTAAGAAGCCCCCCCCCCCTCCCTCCACCCCCTTGTGCGCACCGAAAAAAAACGAAAACAAAGCGTAGGCGAAAAGCCCGGCTCATCTCGGGCGCCGCCGAGATGTGGCGGCGAGCGCTTTGGGGCGCAGCGGACCTTCAGGCCCTTGCCTGGTGAGGGTGCCCTGCGCAGAAGGCGCCCTCCGCCCTCCCGTGGAGGGTTTCTCCGAAGGGCTCAGGCGACCCGTCCTCTCCTTCACCGCCTCCTCTCTCCCCTCCTCCTCCCCCTCCTCCTCCTTCCTCCCTCCTCGTCTCCTCCTCCTTCCACCTCCTCCACCTATCCTGCTCCACTCCTCCTCCTCTCCTCCTCCTCCTCCCTCCTCTCTCCTCCTTCCTCCCCTCCTCCTCCTCCTCCTCTCCTCCTCCTCCTCGCCTCCTCCTCCTCCTCCTCCTCTCTTTCTCCTCCTCCTCCTCCTCCCTCCTCCTCCTCCTCCTCCTCCTTCCTCCTCCTCCTCCTCCTCCTCCTCCTCCTCCTCCTCTCCTCCTCTCCTCCTCCTCCTCCTCCTCCTCCTCCTCCATCCTCCTCCTCCTCCTCCGCTTCCTCCTCCTCCTCCTCCTCCTCCTCCTCCTCCTCCTCCTCCTCCTCCTCCTCCTCCTACTCCTACTCCTCATCCTCCCCCCCCAAGCACGCGAGGACGCACAAGTTCTGGGTGGACATCGTCGTGGAGACCACCGCAGGCGCCCTCCCAGCATGGCCAGGGGGGAGCCCGCCATGCGCCCCATCGCCTGCAGATGGTCGCGGGTTGCTGTCAGGCCAGGATGGTGGACGGGTTGATCAGCCAGGTCACCTGATTAGCTTCCCAGATGTCCGACGGCATGGCCTGTCTCAAGCCGGGCGTTTTTGCAAAGGTCTCGGCCACTGGGATGTCAGGGCTCGCGGAGTTGCACCCCGCGATGCGCGACGCCTTGGTGAATAGCTTCGCGCCCTCGCGCCAGCCCCTCGAGATGGGGACAGGCGCTCTGCAGCCAGACCGCGACGCGCGAGGCGCAGTTGCCCTTGCGCCCCCGCGGGTGACCCAGGAGCATCGGAGAAGGCTAAGTCCATACGCAGTGAGTCCACACGGAGTGCTCGGCCTCCGTATGGACTTGCTCCGTCGGGGCTTAGCCTCTCCTGATAGGACGCTAAGTCCGTGCGGATAAGTCCATCCGGTGTGCTCGAGCTCCGTCTGGGAGTACTACGTCTGGACTTTTAGCCTCTCCCGAGAGCAGGGGGTCTCCCACTTGCGCGCACCGCCAAGCCTGGGAGGGAGCGATGGGGCACGGGGGGCGGAGACGGGGAAAGGTCAGCTCCACCGGGACGGGAACGCCTCGAGGAAGAACGAATTGTACAAACACAAGCTTCTGGAGGTCTGCGCGGGTTTCTCGGATCGGCGCTGGGCGCTTTGGCTGCGTCTCCGGCGCCGTCTGCGCCGCCGCAGGCGCGCTTCGCGTGCCAGGGAGGGGGCGCCAGCGCCGATCCAAGGAATCCTCGCGGACCTCAGGAAGGCTACAGTGCCGTTTTTTTATGCATGCTCCGCGTGCGGATCATGTATTAAACATGCAGGGGTTCAGCATTAGAAACAACGATGAGTTCATGCATTGATTTATCAGCAAATTAATCATTATTAAAAATCCTATATATAAAAAACTATGTATTAGAAACTGCCCTGTGTGTACCTGCCGATGCTCCCCCTGCTGCGCCCAGTGGCGGCCGACCTGGCAGCGCGCAGGAAGCTCGCGGGCAGGCGGCCAGAGAGCGCCGCCCTCCTGCGAGGTGGCGCAGGAAGGTGGCAGGAGAGCGCCCCCTTTCGGGCCGGACGAAATGGGGGGGATTGGGACCCTGACCTTCCAGAGAGCTATTTTTTCGCACGGGAGGCCTAAAAACCAAAAAACAAAGCGAAACAGCCTAAATCCAAGACATGGATTAGCTCTGGGATCGGTTTTTAAGTCGCGTGCTATTTTTTTGCCCTCCTGGAAGGTCAGGGGAAAGGGGGGGGGTACGAAATTTGCTGCATGCAGCTGGTTTTGGCCTCACCGAGGGGCCCATTCCTCGATACATGGCCGCCTCCGGCGCCGGGAGGCGCCGGGAAAATCAGCTACGTGAGCTGATTCTCAAACCCCCCCTTCGCTATCCCCCCCTTTCGCCCGACCCGAGCCTTGCCTGCATCGGCCCCCCGAACCCTCCCGTCCATGGGAGCACCCATCACAGTGGCGCCGAGAAGGACGCCAGGGATCGCGAGGAGGAGGGGGCAGGGGAGAGCGGGGGAAGGGACAGGGGGGGCAAGGGATCGGGTAGCGGGTGGCGGGAGGAAAAACGGAAGCACGGGGTCGGAGGTTCTTGGGGCCAAGGTGCAACGTCGGCCAGAGCGCCCCGGGAGCTGAAGTGAGAACTGAGGTGGAGTGCGAGACGCTTGAGACCCGCCTGGAGCATTGTGGAGCTATCCTGAAGCGGCACGGGTGCGATGCAAAGCCAGTGCCCACCGGCGTCGATTCGAATAAAAGATGGGAGAAGCAACACAACACATACGACGACAGCGCTTTAGATCGACGCACATATACATACATGCATGCATACAGACAGACAGACAGACAGACAGACATCTATGTATATAATAGATCTGACGGCGTGGGATTACAGGAGTACACACGAAAGCACAGAACGACCGAGGAAGGAAGATGAAGCCATATCATATAAAGCAACAGGGGAACAATCATACATAGGAACTCATCTGAAGGCATAGGACATGACGGCCTGGGGAGACTTAGGAATGCATACTACACATGCGAGCTCATTGGAAGAACCATGACGAGAGATGAAGAAATCAACCGATGTGCGAACACATAGGAGGGTGCAGGGTGATAGAGGAAGAAATATAGCAGCATGTAAAGTCAGAACTAATGACGCATGGTAACAGACATAGGACAACAGAGAGAAATAGGAGGACCACATAGGAAGACACATGAACGCATAACAATGTATGAATACAGAAAGCGAACAGGAATCCATGGGATAGCGAAGTAATGAATTAGGTGTCGCCAAGAAGCCATGCGGATACGCAGGGAAGCATGCGGACAACCCAGATGAGGGTAAAGAGATGGGTGGGGCCGGCTCACCGGGGCCCATTCTTACGATAGGGTTGGGGATTCCTCAGGCAAGCTTGTTTCGAAGGATTTCTCATGTATCCGGCTGGAGCTATGGCAAATCGGCAATCAATCATTGGTTTGGTTAAATTTGTTTGCAGCGTGTCGTTGGTACTTCGCAACAGTTGATCCACTGTTATGTCGATCAACACTTGGGCATGCGCCAAGAAGCCGAACTTGTGCACACCTTGCTAGCACTGACTACGGCCGCGTGCTGACTTGCAAGGAGCGCACTTGGTGGCCCAGTGGCCCCGACCAGTGTGTCTGCTTGGTTAGTGCTTTAACCACACGCGCAAAACAGGCGGCAGCTCCATACGTAGATGGTTGCAGGGATTTTGCAATGAACATGATGACTGCGGCGGCCAACGAGCCGAAGGTTTCTCTTTCCTGCAGTACGGTTTTCAACAAAAGATGTCGCAGAGAGTCACAGTTCGGTATCACTGTCATACACGTAACGGAAGCCCGTGGCACGCGCGGAGTCCTCTTGCAAGATGAACATGGGCGACTAGAGTTATGATGTTCCAACCCACTTGAGCCTTGATCACCAGGAAGAACTTCGAGCACCAGGGATGTACCGAAACGTGAGGGCTTTCACGTGTCGGGCCCTGGGAAGCGATACTCCTTCGACACCGTTTCGATACTCTTCTGGGCGATCGAGATTATTGCTGGGATGTGGTCCGAAAGTACGACGGGAGCAACATACTAGAGTGAGACGTGTTCCGGCTGCTCTGGCAATCCCAGGGACGCGCCAGATTTTTGTAATGGCCTAGCTTTAAGTCGGGCCTGTCCCTCTACAGGGGGACTATTCAAAAATAGAAAAATTTGTCCTTAATGGGGGTGTATGTTTTCAGTATTTTTTATGTTTCGCCCAAAATCCCCTTGTAGGGGGACACGCCCAACTTAAGCCTAGCTCCTGTACGTGAGCTGCGGAGGGCACGCGCGGAGTGCTGCTCTGTGCGAAAGGAACACCATCGAGTACTGTTGGGAGGGCTTCGATAACAGAAGCACTCCTCGGGATGGGGGTCTGTGTCCTGAAAAACAGCATCCACTGGGGATGCCGGGCGAACCAGTATGCCAAGGGATTGGCCGGCACGGACCGAAGAGACTCGCCCGAGAGAGTACATCAATGGTTGGACGTTGACGGAACAGATACGGATTTTGAAAAGCAGCGAGAGGTTGGATCCACTGCGGTGTTGATCACCAAATGGTTTGGCCACCCCAAAGTTGCAGAATATGTTTCACACGTGTATCCTCTCTCAGCGAAGCGATACCTATTCCACATGCAAATGAGGGCAACGGCTGCAGTTTCAATGGCACGTTAACCAGAGCGGATCGGGATTGGACCTCTTCAGAGAACACGTACGACAGGAAGTTGTACGAGGTCGCCAAGGAGTATCGTTGAAACATGGTTGATGTCGGCTATGATTTGTCAATGGCCGAGCTTGGCGCGGCGCGTTAAAGCGAAAGGGAAATAGTGCAGACCGATGGTTTTCTGATTCAAATGCTGAGACGTGGATTGTGTCAGTTGCGTTAGCTGTTCCTTCCCTGGTCGCCCTCTTGCCTGCGAACGCTTGCACCGGTGTGCTCGCGTTTCACGGCACTGGTGTGTATATGTACGTAGCTGTGTTTCTTTATGTTTTGATTCGTTCAGGGCACGTTGCGTTTCTTGATATACGCATCCCATGTTCTACATCCGACGTGCTTCCTGATGTCTCAGTACCTGAAGCCCTGTTCAGTACACACGAATTTCGTTATGTGTTTAGTCAGATCGCATATGTTGTTATCAAATATCTGTATCCCCCTGGTGCTGCTGAACTCTTTGTATTCCACGTGGCTTGCGCCATTCCATCCCGCCGATCCCAGAAGAGGTGAGAAGTCATGAGGAGTCGCAAGGTCGAGGTAGGGACTGCGATTGTTCCGCTTGGCGGGTGCCCAAGGGCTGTGGAGTTGTTTCGGCCAGGTGTTCGGCGATGGGCCAGCTTGCACACGTAAAGGGCCACCTTCAGACGGGGGGGCTTACGTATCGCTTTCGGGGGGCTTCTCTGTGCCTTCGTAACGTCGGGTCCACTTGGGGCCCGTCGAGGGCCCGTGCATGGTTTCGGGGCCCTCTTGCGCGCGATGGTTTCACACGACTGTCCTCCAACGGTTCGGTTTGACCGTCCTGCACAAGTCTGGGCGGGTTCGGGGGCCGTCTTGGAACGGTCTCCTGGGGGGTTCGCGCCAGTCTTGGAGCGTTCTTGGGGCCGTCTTGAACGTCCCAGGGGCTTCGCGGGGCCGTCGGAGGGCTCCCCGAGGGGATCTAGAGCCGAGAGGCTTCGGAAGCGAAACGCAGTGATTTCGGATACCCCTTCCCACACAGTTTGCCCCTGGGTTCCGAGGGGGGCACCCCTGGACGTCCCTCGCGAAGCTCCTCAACAGCAGCAGGGGTTGCGCGGCATCGGAAGGTTGCCTTGGCGAGTCGGAGGCCCCGTGAGGTGCGTCGGAGGGCCCTGGAGATGCGCCAGGGAGCTCGTCGGCTCACCCACCCACCCGTGGGCCCCGCACTCACTCAAATGGTGTGTTAGAACTGGGTCGGCACGGGAGCGGAAAGAGCGTTTCAGAAGGTTGTTTTGGATGGCGCATGGCACCGAACGTTCTTGGGAGCATTGGCGGCAAGAGCTTTTGTTCGTTACCGCTCGCCCTTGGACATCGTTGTGTTCAGAGCTTGTCACGCCACTGGTGTTCTGAGGTATCGGGAGCCTTGGTGTTCAGAGCTTTTTACGCCACCGCTCGCTCTTGGGATCCTTGTTGTTAAGAATCATGTCACTATGGGCTCTCGGAAGCATTGGTGTTCAGAGATTTGCTTAGTCATCGTTTGCTCTTCGGAGCCTTGGTGGTCAGGGCTCTATCAGAACCGTTCGCTCTCGGGAGCCTTGGTATCAAGAGCTTGCGACGTCACTATGGACGTTTGGGAGCCTTGGTGTACAAAACTTGTTACGTCACCGCTCGCTCTTGGGAACCTCGATGGAAAGAGTTGCTTATGTTCGCCGCTCGCTCTGAGGAGCCCTGTTGTTACGAACTCGTCACGTCAGTGTGAGTTCTTCGGAGCCTCTGTTGTGTGGCGTCCCCAGGCCTTCTTGGGGGGCCCTGTTGGACCCTTTTAGGGCTCCCATAGGTGTGGCCCCATAGGGAGCGGCAGCGTCCGCATGCAGTTCCACCTTCCGTTCCGGTAGGCCCCTTCACACGCATCGTGGGCCCATAGGGAGCCCCACCGAAGGGCCCAGGGGCAGCGCCCGCATGCGGTTCCACACCCATTTCGGTGCACCCCTCACACGCTTCCTGACCCCCATCAGGGGACTCCACCGAAGGCCCCAGCGGCAGCGCCCGCATGGGGTTCCACCTATCGTGTCCGCGACCCCCTCACGCGCTCCATGGCCCCATGGGGCTATGCCATAGGGAGCTCCACCTACGGCTCTGGTGGCAACGCCCGCATGCGATCCCACCCCGAGGTTCGGCGCGGCTCTCACACGGCTCGTGGCCCCGCAGGGAGCTCCACCGAAGGCCCCCGTGACCTCGGTCGCTGGCCCCCCTCCTCCATGTCGGTTTCCCCACGAGGCTCGAAGGCTTCAGTGGCAGCGCCCGCATGGTGGCACCGCCACATCTCGGCACACCCTTCACGCGCTGCGTGGCTCCGCAAGGAGGTCTGCCGAAGACGGTACTCACAACGACCGGTACTCACAACTGCACATGGTGTGGTCTATCATCAGGCTGATTGTTTTGTCTGTCACCCTCTGGCGCGCAGCGGTCGTTACCCGAACTAACCCACCCCCTCAGATAACGCTAACAATCGTACGCAGCTTGGGCCCCCCCCGCACATGCTGTGGTGCTCGCGCCCAGAGTATGGCGATCGCAGCGCACCCCCGCCCCCACGTCCCCCACCCCGCCCAAGCGTTACCGTCACGGGGGGGGGCTCAAACTTTCCTTCCCCCCCCCCGCTTTGGGTAATCGCGCCCGGAAAGGACGTTTCAAAACACGGGGCAAGCCTCCAAATAAGAAGACCCCCGAGGCCGCTTCTTGGAAGACCGCAAGGCCTCTGCGAGGCGGAGCGCCCACGGCCAGACCGGGGTGTGCGATCGAAGTCGGCTGGGGTAGGGTGCCCAAAATGTGCTCCGTGCTTGCTGGATGCTCTCGTGCATCCTCGGGGAGGGCACCCTCGAGTGCTCTTCAGCTTGGCCGGCGGAGGGTCTCATGTTACCTCCTCCTCTTCCTCCTCCTCCTGCTCCTCCTCCTCCTCCTCCGCCCCCTCCCATTCCTCCCAGTTCTCCCCTCTGCTCCTCCTCCTCCTCCTCCTCCTCCTGCTCCTCCTCCTCCTCCTCCTCCTCCTCCTCCTCCTCCTCCTCCTCCTCCTCCTCCTCCTCCTCCTTGAAGGAGGTTCTTCTGTCCTCGGTCTGGCTGTACTCCCCGGAGAGCGCCCCGCTCGCCCCCCTTTCCCCCCCCTGCGGGCCGCCGAGCACTTCCGTGGGCGGCTTCTCGGGGTCGGACGCCGTGGCCCTCCGGCTCGGAAGCCCCGGCCTTGGCAGGGGCCTTCGAGGTGCGAGGCTCGGCCCCGCGACGCCCCACACTCGGGGACAGCCAGGAGGTGTCGACACCACTACTCCCAGGGTACCGAGGCCGCGATGCCCAGGGCCTCCTCCTGGGGTGCGCTCAGACCAGAAGCTCGGGGCGAAGCCAGCGGCGGCACGAGGGCCTCCCCGGAGGCTGGAAAAAGGGGAGAGAGCGAGGGTAGGGCAGCAGTGCGTGTACCTTGTTCTGAAACCAGAAGTTTTTTGGGCTCGTGAAAAAGGGAAAACGAGGGAAGGATAGCGGTATGGGTACCTTTTCCGTCTCCGAGCGTTGAATTCTTGGGCACGTCCTCGAAACGCTGAACTCTTAAAGAGAGCGAGGGTAGGGTAGCCGTACGTGCACCTTTTTCCTGAAACCAGGAGTTGTTTTGTTCGTGAAGGGGATAACGAGGGAAGGGCTTCCCTCTCCGAGCGCTGAACTCCTGGGCACGCCCTCGAAGCTCCTCGTACGTGCACCCTTTTCTGAAGCCAGGAGCTTTTTGCTTGCGAAGGGGAAAAAACAGGGACGGGCGTCCCTCCCCGAGCGCCGAACTCCTGGGCACGCCCTCGAAGTTCCTCGGCGCCACCCCCAGAGGCGCGCGGAGCCCTGCGCCGGGCACGGCGCGGAGCCTACCGAGGGGCAGCGCCGAGGGCGCATTGCTCGCGGCCACGCGCAGGGAGGGGCGCGGGGAGGAGGGGGGAGGAGGAGGAGGAGGAGAAAGGGGAGGAGGAGAAGGAGGAGGAGGAGGAGGGGGAGGGGGAGGAGGAGGAGGAGGAGGAGGAGGAGGAGAGAGGAGGAGGAGGAGGAGGAAGGAGGAGGAGGAGGAGGAGGAGGAGGAGGAGGAGGAGGAGGAGGAGGAGGAGGAGGAGAGGGAGGAGGAGGGGGAGGAGGAGGAGGAGGAGGAGGAGGAGGAGGAGGAGGAGGAGGAGGAGGAAGAGGAGGAGGAGGCGGGAGCGCGACTCCGAATCAACCTGGGGCTCTGCAGCCCGGCGCGCTGACGTCTCTCGCGGCTGCGCGGGGGGAGGGCCGCCCCGCCTCAAAAGGCATGGCTCTCCTCGGGGAGGAGGGGGGGGGCTGCGTGGAAGCACCCCCTGGCTTCCGAGAGGGCGCGGCCCTGAGCTGCAGGTGCAGGGCCAGCGCCCTCCGAGAAGCAGCCTCCTTCTCATAGGAAGTGCTCCCCCCTCCCTCCACCCCCTCTTTCTTCCCCGCGTCCCCAAAGAACCGCGGAGCCCGGCGAGCTGCACGGCGCTGGCCCGTGCGAGGCCGCGCCGTTGGCACCGTGAGGCTCGTCGAGGTCCCCGGAAGCTGCGGCGCGGCCTCGACGGGCCTTCCTCCGAGCAGGAGCACAGGAGCGGGCAGAGCGGGCGCGAGAGCAGCGGCAGCGACAAGAGAGGAGGAGGAGGAGGAGGAGGAGGAGGAGGAGGAGGAGGAGGAGGAGGAGGCGGGGGAGGAGGAGGAAGAGGAGGAGGAGGAGGAGGAGGAGGTGGAAGAGGACCATGAAAGGGGAAGGGGGCGAGGAGGAGAAGCAGAAGGAGGAGGCGGAGGCGGAGGAGGAGAAGAAATAGGAGGAGAGGGCGGAGGAGGAGGTGGAGGAGGAAGTGGAAATGAAAGAGGAAGAACAAAAACACGGAAGAGGAAGAGGAAGGGGAGAACGACCAGGATGAGGAGGAGGAGGACGAGTAGGAGGAGAAAGGGGAGGAAGAGAAGAAAGAGGAGGAGGAGGAGGAGGTGGAGGTGGAGGAGGAGGAGGAGGAGGAGGAGGAGGAGGAAGGGAGGAAAGGGAGGAGGAGGAGGAAGAGGAGGAGGAATAGGAAGAGGAGGAGGAGGAGGAGGAGGAGGAGGAGGAGGAGGAGGAGGAGGAGGAGAGGGAGGAGGAGGAGGAGGAGGAGGAGGAGGAGGAGGAGGAGGAGGAGGCGCGGCGGGCGGGAGCGGGCGCGCGCCCTCGGCAGGCGCGCTGTTCCACGGATCCGTGGACCCGCGCGACATGTACGCCACGGGCAAGAGCAAGGGCAAGGGGGCCAAGGATGGGAGACTTGAACGAAGAAGGAGAAGAACAATAATACTACAGTGCCGTTGTTATACATGCTCCGCGTGCGGATCATATATGAAAAATGCAGGGACTTAGTTTTTAATACAACGAGGAGTTCATGCAATATTCATTCATAAATTAATCATGTCAAAAATGATGCATTTAAAAAATATAATGTATTAAAATTTCCTTTTAATAACAATAATAATCACACTCATAAGAAGAAGAATAAGAAGAAGCATAAGAATAATGAGCATAAGAAGGAGAATAAGCATAATAATATTCGAGGAGGAACAGGTGCCCTATACCGCTACCCTTCCCTCGTTGCCCCCCTTGTTCGGCCTCATGGGAGGCCCTCGTCGCCACCGCTGGATTCGCCACGAGACTCCGGTCAGAACGCGCCCCGGGAGAGGTCCGGGGAGCAGCGGTATCGGCACCTTTTGGCTTCCCCAATGCATCGGATACTTCATCGAAGGAAAAAGCACGGCAGAAACATAGTTTCACTGAGCTCCACGCGGTTTTCTTCGATCGGCGCTGTGTCGCGCGCCCTCAGTGTCCTGCCGGAGGTTGACAGACCTCCTACCCTGACACGTCGATAAAGGAATTGGCCGTTTTCGGTTCGCGAGAGGGCGTCGCGGCCGTCATTTTTGCGGGTCCGGGTCCGTCGGTTTCGACCCCAGGCCGTTTTCACTAAGGGGAGGTTTACTAAAGGGAGGTTTGTCCACCGCCGATCCTGCTGCACCACCCGGGCCCCCCTGGCGGCGCTTCCCGCGCCGCCCCTGGCGCGCTCCGTGCGCCAGGCAGGGACGCCCAGCGCCGATCGAAGAAACCTGGGCGGCGCTGTGCGGACCTCACAAATAGATGTGTGTATAGATGTATGTATGCATGTATACATATATATATATATATATATATACATATACATGTATGTAAGGCTTGAGGGCTCGCTTCGCTTCGCCTCAAATCTAGGTCCTGTGCCCATGCAATGCGAACTGCACGACGAATGATGTAATGAAACGTTGACCGAGAGGGGGGTGAAGACCATCCCCCTGGAAGACCCCACAGGCACGTGCTTGGTTGGGCAGAAGAGGCACTGCGGTCTTGGCGTTGAAGGGGGAATGCCAGGAGCGAATAGATGTGTACATATGTATGTGTATATATATATATATATGCCGTTCTTGTTCTGCTGGGTCAAACACTTGGCACGGGTTCCCTGGCTCTTGCACGCCCAGGTGGCCAGGGGGCTGGGGCGAGGGCCAAGGGCAGACGGTAGACCAGGGGAGGAGGGGCGAACGACGGCCGCGAGCATGCAGGGTTCCAGAGCCATAGGGGAGCCAGGCTTAGGCTAGGGGAGGGGGGGCGAACAACGACCACCTCGAAAATGAACTCGGCATCGCTCGGACGTGTGCATGTTTTTCTCGGCGAGAACCACCAAGGACCATCCTGGACCATCGAGCAGAAAAAAACACGCACGAAGCCGAACAATGCACAGGAAATGGACGTCCGAGCGACGGCAAGTGAAGGCTTCCGAGCTCATAGAGCACGGCTGCGCAAGAGAATACCTATGCATCCACAGTCGGTCAGGGAGTGGTTCGTAGCGTGCCGCGCCGCCAGCTCTGGCCCAGCACGCGCTTTCGGCGCCACGCGCGAAGTACGCTCCGGCGCCCCGGGCATCGACGCTCCGAGCCTTCTGTCCGAGCCCCTCGCCCCGCGGGGCAGAGCGACACGCCGCCCGCTCGCAAGGCATCGCGCGTCGTCGGGGACGCCGCCCGCGGCACGCCAAGCTTAAGTCGGGCATGTCCCTCGACAGGTAGAACATTCAGAAATCGCCCAAAAATGGCCTGGGGACGATGTTTCGAATAGGTGTCAACTGCTCTTGCAGATTTTGTTGAACATGCTGCAGTTTTCGCCCAGGGCCCGCCTGCGGGCGGCGAGGCCCGACCGAACGCCCAGTCCAGACTCCTGGAGGCGCCGCCGCGGGGGGGGGGTCCCCGCGCGGCTGCGACGGCGCCCCCGGGGCGAGGCCCCCAGCGCCGAGGTGGCCCAAGAAAGCTCCCACAGAGCCCCACGACGCCAAGAAAGCTCCCACAGAACCCCACGACGCGCCCAGACAGCCCAAGAAGACCCCAGGAGCCCAGGACGCCAAAGTCCGCCCATAGGCGGCAATGCCCGACCGAACGCGCAGTCAAGACTTCGGGAGGCGCCGCCCGGGGGAGGGGGGTCCTCCCCGCGCTGTGCTGCGACGGCGCCCCGGGGGCGCCGCAGGGAGGCGCGCGCGGGGAGGGCCGCGCGCGCACGAGGCGCGCAGCGAGGCGACCTGCAGGCTCGAGTCGGGCCTGTCCCTTCACAGGAGAAGTACTCAAAGATAGTCAAACAAAAATCGTCTGGGAAGGAGGAGGAGGAGGAGGAGGAGGAGGAGGAGGAGGAGGGGGAGAAGGAGGAGGAGGAGGACGAGGAGGAGGAGGAAGAGGAGGAGGAGGAGGAGGGGGAGAAGGAGGAGGAGGAGGAGGAGGAGGCTGACTGGGTCGTGCAGCCTCGCGCAGGAACAAATCCTTGCCTATAGTCAGGTCGGGCATGTCCCGTTACAGGAGGAGTATTAAAAAATAGTCAAAACAAATCGTCTGGGGTCGATTCCTTGACTACTTTTGACAATGTTTTGAATTTGCACACCTTCTGTTTCTTGGTCGCCCAGAATCCGCCTGCAGGAGGACATGCCCGACCTGCCTATAGGCAAGGATGCGTTCCTGAGGGAGGCTGCACGACCCAGACAGCCTCCTCCTCCTCCTCCTCCTCCTCCTCCTCCTCCTCCTCCTCCTCCTCCTCCTCCTCCTCCTCCTC